CATGTTTTTTTAAAAATAATAATTAATATAAAATTAATAAAATACCGTAGGTATTAGATTAAGAAAAAATAAGTAGTAAATATTGCAACTTTTATATTATAAAATTTTGTAATTTGAATCAATTTTTTTTAATTTTTTTAAACAATTTTTTTAAATAAATAATTTATTTAATCAACGTATAATTGGCTTGGTTTCTAAATAAAATAATTTAATCAATCAATATTTTGTGTTAATTTCTTCAATAGATTCTACTGTCATTCTACATATTAAGTAAATTTAGATTATATAATTTCACTTAAATAAATTAAACTAATAACAAAGTCAATAATAAGGTGCTGTGTATATTTAGGTTATAATTTTATAACAAACTTTAATAAACAATGAAGGTAATCTGAACCGATTCTCTAAAATAAATAATTATTCCCAAATAAACAAAATATAAATCATTCTCTAAAACACATAGACTACTAAACATCGATTTAAGCTGATTTATTGATTCAATTTTTGCTATTTGCAGCATTTAAAAAATTAAAAGATTTAAAAAAAAGATTTATTATTAAATTTGATCATTGGGCGCCATTTTAACCTACCTGTCATTTGGAGCCATTTATTATTTGGGACATATATTCCAGGAAAATTTTTTCGGGGGACTTTTTTCAGGGGCCATTTCTTCCGGGGCCATTTTTGCCTACATTAATCCCCCCCCCCCCCATGCAGACACTGGTGGCTCCGGAAATTTGCCGAAAAGTAGTCCGAAATTTCCGACGGTAATTTCCGACGGTGGGTCCCAACTAATTGGCCGACTATAGCCTCGCCCGAGTTTGAATAAAAAGTCCTTGGTAGGGTTCACGTGCTTTCACGTGCCCCCCCCCCCACCATGTCCAAATATCACTCATTGTTCATATCCCAACAATAACATTAGGCCTACAGATAGAAGACGATTCGCAACGAATGTACGACGTTAAACAGCGAATCCTGGAATTCGAAATAGAAACCACCTCAGCCTCACCATGGTTGGGGCTGAGGTACAACATTTTTTTTATGTAGGGCTTATATACCGCTGATGGCCAGAAATTCAGTAACATTTATTTCGTAATGGTCATAAGAAAAAAATTTACATATGAAAAATTATATTCTTAAAATTAATAAAAAATGCGAAATTAGACCATCACAGGGATCAAAACTAGAAGTAGAACTTGTCTCATATTGACCCCTAAAAAAATAGAATAGAAAAAAATAATAAAAATAAATAAATAAATAATGGAGAAAAATAATTAGAGTTAGCGCAAATCAATCAGTCAGTCAGAAGACCTGTAAATATATTGTTTTCATGTGACTTTTGAATGCTTTCGGGGATTTACAATTTATAATAATATCTTTATCTAGGTTATTCCATATGGTGGGACCTGAAAATGTAATAAAAAATTGACTCTTAGTAAGTTAACAAAAGGGACTTGTAATATATTTGGATTTCTAATACTGTAAGAATGAGATATTACACGGTTAGAGAAAAGCAATGCGATTGATACAGGTACTAAATTATTCACATATTGAAACATAAAATAAGTAATCTGGAGTTTATGAAGGTCACTAATTTTTAAGATGTTAAGTTTTTTAAATAGAGGTTCAGATGCAGTTTCAAATGGTGAAGATGTAATTAACCGAACAACTCATTTTTGTAATATAAGAATTCTTTGTAAATTTGAGGGATAGTCTGCGGCTCATATGATGTTGCAATATAATAAATGGGGCAAAATAAACGAATTGTATAAAGAAACTAAAATACTTAGAGGAAAAAAATGTTTCAGTTTGCTTATTATACCAATGTATTTTGAGATTTTATTTGCTACACTTTGTTGATGGCTTGACCAATTTAAGTTATCATGAACTAAAACACCAAGAAATGATACTTCACTTTTTCTATCAAGCCGTTTGCCATTTAAAAAAACATCACATATTTTGTGTTTAAGTTTATGACGAACACCACGGCTGTGAAATATAATGAAATTTGTTTTAGTTGTGTTAATTAATAATTTATTTGTAATGAACCAATTGCTAATCTTGCTTAATTCAGAATTAAATGTGTTAAACAATAAATCAAAGTTATTACTAGAATAAAATATGGTAGTATCATCGGCAAAGGAAACAGTGTGTAAAATATCACTAGCCAATGGTAAGTCATTAACGTAAATAAAAAATAATAAGGGTCTTAAGACGGACCCCTGTGGTACACCACACAAAATACTTCTTGATGTCGACTTACAGTTACCAATTTGAACATATTGCTTTCTATTATTAGGATAACTTGTAAACCAGTCTAATGAGACACCTCTAATGCCATAACGAAAAAGTTTAGAAATTAGAATATCATGGTTGACGAGATCAAAAGCTTTTGACAAATCAAGGAATGTACTCAATAAAAATTCATTATTTTCAAACGCATTATTAACAGAATTCATGAGTTCTAAAACGGCATGTGTGGTGGTATGATGTTTGCGAAACCCGTATTTGATGGTTATTAAGTAAATAATTTTCAATAAAATAATTATAAAGACGAGTATGCATTAATTTCTCAAATATTTTTGAAAATATGGGTAGAATGGAGATTGGTCTGTAGTTATTTAGTAAGTGTGAGTCACCTTTTTTAAATGCAGGAATAACTTTAGCTATTTTTAAATGGTCAGGTACAGAACCTGTTGTAAAAGATAAATTAATTGCGTGTGTAAGGTGGCTTAAAATTGCAGGAGCAATTTTTTTAAGAACAAAGGGTGTGAGAGAGTCATGCCCCGACCCTTTATTAGAATCGAAATCGTTGATTATATTTAATACTTCCGTTTCAGAAACCGGATTAATAAAAAAAGGAATTTTGGGTGGGAGGTGGTAAATATGAAAGTGGATCAATGTTATTATTAGGTATTGAATTACATGCAGTTTTGCCGATTTCTGAAAAGAAGTCATTAATTAACGGCAAATAGCATTTATAATCTTAAGTATACTCTTGTTCAATTTTTACAACATTAGGTATCTTTTTATTTTTTTACCAGGGTTTATTACAGAATTAATTACTTCCCATACCTTCTTAATATTAGATTTAACTTGATTAAATCTTGTTTCATAGTACTTCTTTTTTGACATTCGACAAAGAGCAGTAAAGATGTTGTTATATTTTTTGTAATTTACATTATCTTGATTGTTTTGGGAATTAATAAATATTTTATAAAGCTTATGTTTACGTTTACTACATTTTAGAAGAGAGGGTGTCATCCATGGGTGTTTACATTTTGTTTTCTTTAGGGTTTTTTCTTTAGTAAATAGATGTTTTTGTTGTACGGTAGAAAATATGTCTATAAATGAATCATAAGATGAATTAGAATGATAAAGGTTAGACCAATCTGATTGAGAGAGATCTTGGCTAAATGCTCCTATATCCTTAATAGAATACGAGTAATTAAAAGTATCATTATTTATATACAAATCATAATCAATTATTTAAAAAATAGGTAAATGATCAGAAATATCAGAAATGATAACACCTGATACAATTTCAGAATTAATATGGTTAGTGTAAAAATGATCAATAAGAGTTGCATTATTTTGTGTAATTCTCGTCGGTTTAGATATCGTAGGGAAGAAAGAGTTTGATAAGATACCATTTAAATAATTATTTATAAAATTTTGATTATGAAACTTGATTAGATCTATATTGAAGTCTCCCATAATATTACAAAATATATTTTCATAATTTAATTTTAAAAGCAGTTCATTTATTATGGCAGTAAAATTGTCAATATTTGAATCCGGTGGTTTATAGATAATGCCAATGATATTATTCTTTTTCCTTTTGTTAAGAATTTCAATAAAGAGGGAATCACATATTTCTTTTGGCAAAAGTAAATCATGTCTTAACTTGAAATTAATTTCATTTTTTAACGAATAATCCAACCCCTCCTCCTGTTCGACCAATACGATTACAAGATAAAAAATTATATCCTTCTAAAAATGAATTATTTTTTGGTCGTTTAACCATGTCTCCGAGAGGCCAATGATAGAAAATTTGAGGTTGATGTAATTAAAAAGCTCTTCCAATCTGTCATGTTTATTTGACACGCTTCTAACATTGAGGTGAAAAAGGGATAATTGATTAGTGCTTTTATTCTTTATGAGTTGGTTAAATTGATTAATATCAAAGTATTTGCACAAATCAAGTGTGGATGACCTAAAGTTAAGGTGATTAACTAGCATTTCAGATCATCAAATTTTAAGTCATCATCTAATAATGGGTTAAAAACAGGATTATACATTTCAGGAGATTTCAATGAAACATTAAATAATTCATTAGAATAGTCTACCCCGTGAAAAGGTAGATTTATAAACTCATTATTTGCCATTTATCACATAATTTTTAAGATATTTAACATACAATATTTGCGCTATATATACCAGTCGAGAAAAGGAATACAATAACAAGATAATGAAAATAATAATACTAAAATATAAATATGATGACCATATAACATCTTGCATAATTTAATAAGTATGTACTATCATATACAATAAGAATAGCTCAATGAATAAACAATGTAAGGAATGCATTTTGAAATAATATAATTTGTGTTCGAAAAACAAGGGCAAGAAATTTGCCAAGACCTAGTACAAAAAACAATAGATATATTACATTTTTAATATATATAGTGAAGACAAATTTATGTTAATGTGCATTCATTTAATATAGAGTTTCCCATTGATATAAAGATTTCCATTTCTAAACAATGGTCGTTTTCCTTCTTTGAAAGCTTTGGACATTACACCTTTAAGTTCATTCTTTTTCTGTATGTCAGCAGCCGGCAAATCCTCCATAACGTAAAAAGTTTTAACCTTCATGGCCTTGGCTTTGCGGATCACGTCCTGAAGACGAACTTCACGATGATGTGTCTTGGGCGTTGAATCCCACCTTTCTTTATTTTACCGGTTCGGTGTGCATTTTCAATCGTTATCTCATCTCAATTAAGGTCATGTTTTAATATATCCAGAACAAGTTGCTTTGGATCTTCGCTTTCTCTCTCTTCAATTCCTCCAAATCGGAGATTATAGCTTCTAGAATGTCTTTCCATTCGCAGCATTTCAGCTTCAATGTTCACCATTTTATCTTGCTTAGATTTCAGGTCAGTTTCCATTTGTTTGAAATTCTTAAGTAAGATATCCGTTGCAGTTTTGAGTTCATCGTAGGTTTTACTGTGAATTTCAAGCGAATCTTCCATGACTGATTGCCTTTTTTCAATCACATCAATTCTATTTAATAGTGCATGCTGGCCTTGTTTAAGCGATGCTATTCCCTCATTAATGTCAGCTGCAAAGCTACGTAGTTCGTCACGCAAGGCATTTAGTGACGTATCCACAGGTATGGCGGGTGTTCATAGTTGTAAAATATCAAATATCATACATTCAATATAATGATAACTTACAAATCGCTATAAATATCGTCTAGGTGGGGAAATTTTTAAGTAATTTCACGGAGCTATTAGGAGTAGGTCTTCACTCGACGAAGTCCATGATCCAAAATCCTAAATATGGCACTGTCAGATTCAAAATTTGAAGGTAATTATATTTTTCCCCATCCCCCATTTAATTTTTAATGTGCAAAATTTAGGGCGGCTTAATGCTGATATTTTGTCATTAAAATGTAGGATAGAACATGATTTGCCAAATTACGACATCGTCGATCTTGGAATTAGACATAGACAGAAGGGGATGGGTACAGACAGTAAATGTTCAAAATAAGGGATTTAAGCAACCTCGGGTAGGAAATTGTTATGTTTATTGCACTTGTAGATGGCCGGAAATGACACTTTCAGACTAAAAATTTGAAGTTAATATTCTGTTATCCCCTACTCACTTTCAATTTTGTCAAATTCAGGGTTCCCTCCTGATTTTTTTAATTTGTTTAATATCCAGGTAAAAGCAATACAAGAGAAATCACGGAAATAAGAAGTACATCGACTGAGGATTGCCACAATCAAGTGGCTCTCCTATACTAAACATTTTCACATAGAGAATACATACATACAAAAAAATAATTTAAAAGATTCTATCAGATTACTAATAAGATATTTGAATTAAAATATAATGTCAATTAAAACAATTTACAGTGAACGCAGTCATGCCTGTTAAAGGTATTTCATTATTGAAATAAATTATCTCGAATTTATGGGAAAATGTATTAGTTCGCTGATGTTTCTTAGTTTAATCGCAAGTTGTTTTGAGTTCTCAACATGATGTTCTGCTTCACCGACTATGGGTTTTAAAATCTCCTTAATGAAACATGAGACACCATAAAGATGGCGCTACTACTATCTACAATGCGTCGGATCGGGCAATTATGTTTGTGGATTTTAGAAAGGCGTGGTTTAATCTCAGCCGCTGGAAACATGACACGGAGAACAACACGAAAGGTATTTTAACTAGGGCTCAAAGAACGTCAACATCATCAATTCCAACATAAATCCGCAATCACTGATCACGCACTACAACAAAACTATGTCATAGATTAGGATGCTGCTATCTTAGGAAAAGAGGGTGATACAGGAAAAAAAAATAAAAGAAACAATAAACATCAGGAAACCTGCAAACCATGAAACAGGGATGAAGGAGCACATGAGTTGTCTCATATATGACCAGCTGCTATTTAAGGAGAAGGAGGGGGGTGGGGTCCGATAGCACCTAATGTTCAATCCCTGATATTGATGTGTGAAACAATTGTTCCCAATGGGTCCGCAAAAAAATGATTGGGGATCTGCCAAGTCAAAAGGGTCCGCAAAAAATGTGGGGTCCGCAAGAATTGTGGGTGTCCGCTAGATTATTGGAACAACTTTTTCACGATTACATTACTTTTTCTTGTCTTACAATAGTGTGATCATGCCTTGACAATAATGAAATAGGTTTTAAAGGTTATTTTAATCAACCAATAAAGGTAAAAACGTACTTACAGAACGTTTCGAGACCTGTCAGGTCTCATTCTCAACTGGCGCTTCATTACTTGCGTCAAGCAGAGGAATTATGTGTGATGAGGTTGCACTGCTTTGGAATAGCGTCACACCAACATTAGGGATTGGCAGTCAAAATAAAGTTATTAGGATGGACAAATCAATTTTTTTTTAAAGTTTTTGATCCGACAGGAGGTCCAGGTCTGTCCGATGGAGGAGGATTCTCTCTCCCAGGTCGCACCACTACTGCCTGCAGACACCATAACTGGGGCTTCAGGTATCTACTACAATTTGCATTGGAATTATTGTGCATACAGTATGTTGATTATGGTAATCAACTCTTTGCACCACTTTAAGAACTTGTAGGCAAGTAGGCGCCTAATTGGATTTGTCTATAGCCTTTACTTACCGAATAGGTCTGCAATCACACTCTTCGACAATGTGTTTATGCCGGCACTCCAGTAAGCACCCGGCGACCGTGTATATTTCGTAATTGTTAAGCTTCACAGATTTGTCACAGTCTCCGTGGGGTTTACCTAGCGTTTCTACCTATGGCGATTGGACGCAAAACCATTTACGTATTAACAAAATATTTATGATTTTATTGACAAAATTAAAAGTTCATTTTAATTTAAACGTACCTCCTTACTTAGATCTTAAGCATATTTAACAAATATTTGCAATGTAGCTTGCAGTGCCGAATCTAGGGGTACTACTGAAATTGGGAAAGTGGATGAATGAGGGGGTGGGGGAGGGAGGTTAGGGCAGCTATGTTTATGTAGGTAATTTAATTAGTAGAACCTTATCTGATCATGAACATCTTCAGAATGGAAAACAGAAAGGGAAACAGGTTAATACGATACATGCTGTCAATTATGGAGGGGCATAGATATTACACTTTTTTTTCATAAGAACCAGTAAAATTTTGCCCAGGCTAAAATATTCTTATTTTGTCCTTATATTTACACAATTTTAAACACAAAAAATATTATTTTACAGTAGTATACCTTAGCCTCTATTTGTTCTTAGTTTGTTCTTAATTTTTAAGCAATTTTAGCCTTAGTGTTCTTAAAAATTTATTTCTTCCAATTTTTAAAACATACACAACAAAACATAAAACAAAACACCATAACAGTGACAGGATTAAACAAAAGAAAACTTAATTGCTGTACAAATTTCTCATTTCTCCCCAAGGGTGATACTTACCAAACAATAATTAATAAATATATACAAATATTTAAAAAGTTATGATTATTTACAATAAAAGGCAAATTCAAATATAATATTACAAAAATATATAAAGTTAAAATTACAACTTGTGAAATAAAGTATATAGCATCTGCTTTTTTTTTTCAATTAACTTTTATTCAATAAAATTCATTCATAAAAAATATATATACACAAAAATATATAACTTTCTATGACAAGAGACAAACATATAAAATACACTGAATTAAATAAAAGGAAAATAAGTGAATAAAAAAAACCTCTCTAGGTTACATCCTTAAAATTAGATGACAAGGGAGTAAAAACACACAGAAAACAAGAAAATCAGAAACAAAAAACAAAAATTGTGCATAACCTGTTTTTCAAAATAGGATTTTACTAGCTTTGTACACTTTTGAATGCACTGCATTTATATTAATGTGTAGTTTTCAAATAAAGTATACAAACAAATAAAATAGGTACTTACTAGATCGTTTTGACCTATATGAATATTTAAACTTACTTCAATTTTACGTGTTGAGACGTAGGCGTGTACACCAGGAGGAACTGCCAAACCTTTGGATTCTATCAGTGGCGGTTCGTTCTGCGGATGCACTAGTATCTTCAAGCCGGCCTCCATGTTACCTTCAGACGTTTCGGTATATTCGTCCTTGAGGGTGAAAGATATTTATTGTATTATAAATTTAAAAAAAAATTAAGAGTAAGCTGCATTCACATCGGGTCCAAGACGACATTAGGACCGCGTTTCCGATGCGCTGAACGTCAGCGATCGTATTCTACATAGAGTACGGTACTGCTTCGAGCTTTGTGCCTAATTTACAGATATTCTCCAATTCAATCACCCTAATTAGAGGGTTGCACACTTGTAATTTTGGAAACTTACTGAAAAGCACTATAGTCTATTTTGATCAACTAAGAAAATCACTGGAAATAAATAAGTTGCTAAATGTGGTGCCATTTAATTTCAATACCTGTTTTTTTTAAATTAATATGCTTTCACAAAGGATGTTCAATATCGTTATTAACTAATATTAACACCTAGCATAATAAACTTCTCATTTTGCCAATTTGGTTGGAACAATAATCTTTTCAGATTCTCAGCTGCTAATTGTGGTACTATTTAATATTAATATCTGGTGCTTTTTCTTTTTATGTAATGTGCTTTCACTTGGAGAAATTCGATAGTCAGATGTTTAAGATAAACAAACATCGTAATAGACTTCTCAGTAAGTCGATGTGATTGGGAAAATAATCTTTTCAGATTAATAAAATATCAATTGACAAGAATCTCCATTCAGAAAAAAGGTGGTTATTTTCATAAAATATCAAATGACAAGAATCTGTTTCATGTTTGTTATATAGCAAACAATTAATGTTTTTTATTTGCGCAATTGACAGAATATTTTTTATTCGTTGAAAGTCTGTTAGATACACCTTGGCACTGCCACATTGAACGGAACAGTCAATCTTTCAACTCATGAAAATATTCTTTTTATTGCGCTCAAAAGCATTAATTTTTTTTTTTATACTAAATTACCATAGGTTTAATTTGCACTAAATTATCGTTCAATAATTACCGGTACTTGAAATCATTTACCGTAATTGCTTATTTATTAATGTTACCGTAGATGCTGCCATGATTCAGGAGATCACAATATACACTATTATTATTTATAGCACGAAGTTCAGAAATATTAAAATCAATAACTCAATGTAATATAAACCATTTCCTTCTATTCTTTATAATAATAATAATAATAACAATAACAATATTAATAATAATAATAATAATAATAATAATATGACACTTTTTAGGCCTACATTTATTGACTGTTCATAGGAGACTACCGTCGCTATGAAAGATTATTATTATTATTATTATTATTATTATTATTATTATTATTATTATTATTATTATGATTATTATTATAAATTGATGGTGATTTGCATTTAAAATAGTTTGTTAATATTTTGTGAATGTTAATTACGAACATGATTTAATCGTAATGCAAGCAACGATTAGGAACTCATAATCATTAACATTGAAAACGTTATTATTAAAGAACGTGTTATAAATATCACAATCAAGGTCAGTCAACATAAACAACACACAACCGCAGACCCTATATAGGGTCTGTGACACAACATAGGTCTATGTCGACTTACAACATAGGTCTATGTCGACTTACAACATAGGTCTATGTCGACTTACAACATAGGTCTATGTCGACTTACAACATAGGTCTATGTCGACTTATAACATAGGTCTATGTCGACTTACAACATAGGTCTATGTCGACTTACAACATAGGTCTATGTCGACTTACAACATAGGTCTATGTCGACTTACAACATAGGTCTATGTCGACTTACAACATAGGTCTATGTCGAATTACAACATAGGTCTATGTCGACTTACAACATAGGTCTATGTTGACTTACAACATAGGTCTATGTCGACTTACCGTGGATACGGGCATGTGCAGTGCAAACTACGAATTGGTTTATTACAATCTTACCTGTTGAATGTTAATCATCAACTGAAGGGCGTTTCCTGCTCCCGGCTGTCTGACTTTCAATACGTCATTATATTTGCCAGAGTTGAACGTAAAGCAGTTGCCAAATGACGTAAATAAATGAGTAAAATTCTGGAATGTCAAAAATGTAATGTGGTTATGCACACTCTAGCCATGGGTAGAGGATATGGAAGTCTAACTAAAGGCTTTCCGCTATATAAATTGAAATAAGTGTATTGGGAGGAGGGTGGAGTGAGAAAATAAAGTGAGAAGACTCAATAATTAAGTGAGGGCGCTAACTGGCAAAGTAAAGGGGATGAAGTGTCTTGGGTGTGCTTTTTCGGGGAAGGGGCGTGCGACCCCTGTACTACTACATACGCCACTCTCTATAGCCTAGCCACACCAAACTGGGACAGCACCATTGAATTTCATTGTTCCCTGATTGAAACTAAGTGTGACAGCGGTTATTACAAAATGCGACTGGTTTATTATAAAGTGCGACAGGTATTACAAATTGGGTAACAAAATGAGTATTTTTTCATACTCCCCTATATCAACTTAACCAAATTCATACAAACTCCCAAATATATTTGAATTTCATTTTTCTTTTGAAGTATTTAAACATAAAATAAAGAGAAAATGTGTGCTCGCAGCACACTACGCCTGCAAAATTGTCTAACTTGGCATGCATTAGGGTCGGTACCATTAATTTATTAGCAATTGTTTGTATTACTTGGCGTTATTTTCTTATTTTTTTACAGAAACAACGCAAATGTTACTAAGTCAACTAGGTTCGAGACGCGTTTATTTTTATCGTTTGTTGTGATATATTTTTACTGAAAGTTGATTATTGCTTAAATTAAATGGATATTGAAATAAAGTAATCAATATATTAGTTTGTCATCGTTTGTTTTCTTTTTATTCGCATTTACCATAAATGTTCTGATTCTGACCATGTTTATATATTTTCTTTATTATCATTCATCATCATTCAGTATATTTTCATTCATTTTTATCTATTATTATAAACATAATAATACATAAAAATAAATGAAAATATACTAACTATGTATTTTCTTTATTGTTATTCATCATCATTTAGTATATTTTCATTTATTTTTTATTATGTTTATGATAATACATATATGATAATAATATTTGAAAATATACTAAATGATGATGAATGAAGGAAATATGTAGTATTTTCATATTTATATTTCCATATAAAGTTATCAATATATTTATTTTCAATTTATATTTAATTTCAATGTCTGTCCCAGTTTTTTTTTTATATTCATAAGCCAAACAAAATCACTCACTTGAATTAGGCCTATTTCATAGTTGTAACTAAAGTATAAGTTGCTAAAACGTTCTCACAAAAATATTTAGTATTTTCATATTTATATTTACATATAAAATTATGAATATATTTATTTTCAATTTATATTTAATTTCAATGTCTGTTCCAGGTTTTTTTTTTATATTCATAAGTCAAACAAAACATTAGGCCTATTTCATAGTTGCAACTAAAGTATAAGTTGCTAAAACGTTCTCACAAATAGATTCCTACGGTGAGCCTACTCCAAAGTGAGCATACACAATATTTGTATTTTCTTGTTTGTTTTATTTCCATTTTCGATACATATTTTGATGTCTATTGATTAAATTAATGTAAAGTTATGCAAAAGTTATTGGCATTACGCAGAAACTGAGTCAAATTTCAAATGATGGGCGTATTGTATTGTTTACTTTATGATCATCCAATAAAAACATATTATTGCATTTAATATTTTTTTTTTCATTGAAAATTACCATGCTGACCTGTTGCTTTCCCTGTGTCTAACTTGTGTTACTGTACTATTGAATATTGTGCTGTTTTTGTGAGTAGATAAAGTTGATAATTATTTTTAATCTACTAATTTTGTTGTTAAAAACTTAAGTAGTACTAGTAGTACCAGTGAACTGATTTCGTTTACTTAATTACTACAAATGCAAAATGAACTTTATTGAAATTTCAAATCACCAGAGCCTAAGTTCATTCAAATCCAGACTTTGAATGAACTTTGTGTTCTGTTTGTATTTATATGTATTTATATTTTTATAAAAAATTATTTGTATATGTAATTTTATATTTCCAAATTTTTTATATTCTAAGTGTGTCAATAACTTCAAATCCTTGTACAGTATTTTCATTGGCTTTTTTTTTATTAATCTATATCGTGTTCTCTCCGTCCTTTATTTTTATGTTTGTATATGCAATACATCTTGAAAAATTTAGAAATGTCCAATTTAATAATGTTTATTATGTAATAAATTATTCAATTGTATAGTAATTTTTATATTTTTTTATATGTTTTTAAGACATCCTGTAATTGGCTTTATTGTAGCTGTTGGATGATGTTCGAAATAAAATAAAATAAAATAAAATATATACAGAAATAGAAGTTGGACATAAAACTGAGTAAATTAAGGTAAAATTATGCCTAGGCCTATTCATAAATTCCACAAAAGAGCAAAAGAGTACACACGTTCCCGTAATCTCTAAAGCTCCGATGAGGGCAGTATAATAGAGGCAGTGGAGCTAAAAAGATCTATTAATCAATCAACTATTAATCAATAAGCCGAGTTTTTCAAGAGCTCCTCATGAGGGCAGTATAATAAAGGTAGCAGAGCTAAAACAGATCTATTAATCAATCAATTAACTATTAATCAATTAGTCTCATGAGGGCAGTATAATAATGATAGGCATTAGAGCTTTAAAAATCTATCCGTGGAACAGAGTGCAGGTGAGAAAACAAGGCGTAATAAACTTTAAAAAAAAAACGATGGATGTTTAAATGAGAGTGACTTAAAATAATTAAAGGTAGTTTAAATGTAATTCGTTCTTTAACAGGGAGCCGATGTAAATCGTAAAGGATGGGTTTAATGTGTCGTTGCGGGGAGTAAAAGAACAAATTCAGGGCAGCAGATTTTTAAATTTTGTAAGCGGTAGATAAGGAACTCAGGTAAATCAATAAACAAATAGTTACAATAATCCAACTTAGAAGAAATGAACGCATGAAAAAATTTTTCAGCTGATTTGTTTTTTTTTCTCAGAAATTGAAGACTGTATTCAATGTACATTTGTTCTAATTGTTCACAATTTCATGCACTTTTGCTGAGTTTTAATTTTTTTTTTAGTAATCATAAATGTTGACGTTAGCATTCAAGGCAAAGCCAATTTGTTTAACAAAAGACCAGCCGTGATTACTGGTACTATTAAAATTCTTTCATGTATTTCTAAAAGGATTATAATAATGAAATGATCAATAAATATGGTTATTTAGTCACGTCAGCAGAATATACTGATGCATTAACATTGGGAGAGCAACTTAGCTCAGTCGGTTAAATTATGGTAGGCAAAGTGTTTGCGATGAGCCTAATTAACCTTGGTGCCTGGTTCAATTCCATCCCTGTTTTTCGTTTTTCGAATATGATTTTACGGTGTTACACACTGTAGATGACCCGCTGAAGCCATGGTTACTTATTTGCAGCGTAGTCATTCTTCAGGTTGTGAATTTTGCAGAACCCTGAGAGAAAATATCTGTTCATTGCGTTCTTTATCGTCACATGAGTCATATTAAATATGAGGCCACCAGCTTACTGGTCCTTCACCCACGATGAGAGCGAAGTGGTGTGGTATTGTCGGACGTCGCTCAAAAACTTTCAAAAGTTGTCAGGGCGCAAAGGCCCAGAAAACTCAAAGGCTTATCTAACTGATTTTAGAATCTATATGAAAAAATACATGATTTTTTTTTTCTCCCAGACGAATTGTTGTTTTTATCCTTGATGTGGGGCTCTGGCATGATCCCTGCTTTCATCACCAACTAAAAACACGGATAGAACAGCGATTGCACTAAACTGAGAGGAGGCAGAGTATTTTCGGTGTGAAGCACACTGATAATAACTCACTAAAACTGAAACCTTTTCTTTCCTGTTGGGTCATATTGGAGGTGATTAAGCATGGGAAGTACTGCGGCCATATTGCACATGGGACCAACAGCTTAAGCCAGGCGACAAAACTCTGCTCCCTAAGGGCTAGACGACGTGACGCCGTCTAGTGATTGTCGGTGGCAGTGAGAAGGGATTATTAAAAAAAGACAGATCTTTAGCGGGCTTCATAGCGTTGCGTTCTCCATAGAATGGACCTTTCCGCTAGGCCCCGTGCATTGGATATTGTTGCTAAGGTCGCACTAGACCAGTGTAGAAGCATACGCGAACACGTGCGTTTGTGGGACAACAACACAAGAGCTTGTTGGATACACGCGTATCCCTGTCACTGTTCTGATTGGTACGGTCAGTTGTTAAGTTTAGTTGACGCTTCAGAAAGGTGTATTGCGTTGGGCAAAGACCATCAGGGCACAATGAATTTATTATTATTATTATTTTCAGCCCTGATAAAATATGAATATAACATAATTTTTATATTGCAAATATTCAGAATACAGTGAAAAAAACCCGAGGGTTAACAAATATATTGAGCGAGGGGTTTTTGGGAAGGAACCCCCTCCCCACTTTAGGTACACCACTACATAGTACTAACCTGACCTCCACACTTCTTCTCTTTCCATTTGCAACTTTGAATCGTTTGGTTAGTGAGCTGAAATCCAGTTCTGTTAGTGAATTCAGACGTACTAAAGTTTCCATTGATAAAGGCATCATTATACTGAATGTTATTTCCAGACTCATAGTAGTCGTAGTCCTCGGCGTCCCATAGAAATTTGATAAGATTCAAATCATTAGCAGTGAGGTATGAAGCTCGATACCTAATTAAAGTAATTAATAAATACATTTTTATCATTCAAAATTTAAAATATGTTTTCAAACTGTTTGTCGTTGTCTGTGCCTATTTAAAGGTGCATTTACAACACCAGCGTCCTTATTCTTAAACTGGACACCCTCTGCGTACGACGGCCGTCGGCTGAAGCGATTCCAGAAAGAACGCAATGCCACAATGTGCGCACAATGGATCGTTTTTAATGACGAAAAATGACGATTCGTTCAGATTGTCACCGACAATCAGCCGATGGTGTCGCATCGTCTAACGCTCACTGGGAGCTAAGTTGGATTCGTCGTCGGCCGACGGTTGTACGACCATTGTACGACACATTGAGTGCCCGGCTTTACACAGTCGATTTTCTGGTCGGTTCGGTAGGCCTTCCGATCCGAAGATTCTGTATAAAATGAGCTTTAGGCCTGTAATTAATGAGTTTTCTCTTTCATGTGTTTTTAATTACAATTTATATAATGTAAAAAAAACAACATTTGTATTGTCTTGTTACTTATTGACCCAGGTAGAAACATGTATGTACAGGTATATGACAAATAAAGGAACAATATAAATATAAATAAATGTAATAATGAATTAATATAGACCGATTTAGTGACCAACGCTTCTGAACTAAAATAGTAAGTATTCCAACCAAAACCCCCCATACCAGCATTGTGACAGAAATCATTGTTTAATTTTTATAAATGTATCTTCATTTTGTTGGTAAAAACACTTTGTACATTTAACTTAATTTCAAATAAAAAATAAAATCAAGTGTATTCTGATGGTTCGAATCGAATTCCACTCCCTGTCAGCGCTTGGACCATGATGGTCGCAGAAAGTCTGAACGGATCGTTCATCACTAACACAACCCGTTTTGCGCGCGTCCTGGCGTTGCATTTTCAATACAGTATATAATAATCTCGTCAGCCGACAACCGTCAGTCTTCACCTTCCAAACGTATACACCTACCTGTTGAAGTTGCAGATAGTGAGGGCGGGGAACTCCAGTTCATCGACGAACATCAGGTTGATTTCCGTGTTGATATTGAACAACAAATACTCTTGAATGCGTAGACTGATTTGCCACACACACAAACTCAATCCAGATATGAAAATCAATACCCAAAGTAGTTTAAAGAAGAACCGTTTACTTGTGGCAATGTATTTCAGCCCATGGAGTGTTGTACTTGTTGCAAACTCGCTTTCTAAACTTATCTCCTCTTCAGCTGCCATCGTCTCTTTTACTTTCAGAGTTCACGCTACAACAGTAATCTTTTATATTTAAACAAAATCAGAAAACATGATCAATCATGAAAAGAAAGCAAATTTTTTTCATATTATGATGCATGGGTGCTCATGCAGCAAAATAGAATATAAACAACAAAACTACAAATTCATTCTGAAGTATTTCTTCTCACGCAGCATGATACATGTTTTACTGTTCTTTTCCTTTTGCCTTGAATGTCTTTGTCATGAAAAAAAACCATGATACATCGCTCTTGAAACCACAATTGCTGTTTGGTTTACCACTGGAAATCTAAAAATCTACATATTGAAAATTGAATGAGATATTTTCCAAAAAAGACGAGCGTTAATATTTTCCTGAAACGGTCCCCTCCGGTAAGTTCAGCCCCCTGAATATTTTTGCTTAGGTCCAAATCGACAGTGTAAAAGCATAGGCCTACGCAAACACGTGCGTTTGTGAGACAACATGTGTGTTTGTAGGACACGCGGGTATTCCTGGCCTTGTTTTGGTTGGTCCATTTACATTTTGGGTCGATTTTCAAACATAAATTCTTCTTTACCCAGATTTTGTTGTGTTTTTAGTTAGATAAATTACTTAATGTCAGTTTTTCAAAACCTATTCTCTTAAACACTCATTTAATAACTAGCCTAAAGTTTATAATGTTGTCTGCTCAGTTATTATTAAAAATCTCAAATGTTGTTATTATTCCAAACAACCCAATGTTCATTTTTATTGTGATGACCAATGTAGGCCTACTATAATAAAAACGGAATGAAACAGTATGCTAAATCAATTTCAATTCATTCCGTTGACCAATCAAGAATAATAAATAATCTCTCAATAGAGTGTATGTGCTCTCAACCCTGCAGATCCTTTCAGAACTTTGGCGCAGGGTTCAGTTCCGTTGCTGATTTCCTTGTGGTTTCTAGAGTGCTGAAATGCAAGTTTACAGTAGCACATATTTAAGTCGTTAGTCTAGTCCCGTGTGCAATATTGCCTGTGCCCGTTTTGAAGCAGTAGAAAACAATATCGTCTCGGGAACAAAATCAGAGGATTGTCTTTCGGGAGAATAAAACTGGAAATAAGTGGTTAGACTTTCATGGATTGTTTGTGACGTATTTTACCAAAAATAAACATCGTATAAGAATCATTTATAATAATATCGGGATAATTATTAGATAATATTAAAATAAATTGTTGTGATAACTATTTAATAATTTTGTGTTTTCATGCTTGTTATTATTACTGTACGTAAACTCACAGGATTGCCCTCTGAGTTTGGAATGAGGTTTTTTTATACCTAATAGATAAAAAATTAAATAAATTAATAACATTTTATATATGGTTATACTAACATTTTCAAAGCGTACATCTGTATTAATTGCTACGAAAGCATATTCTGCTTTTTTACAATGATCCAAAATAGTCATAAGAAGTATAAACCTTAGTTATGGTACTAAGTGCCTATTTATTTATATACTAAAGTTAAGTTAACATTCTCCAGAGGTTAAGCTTGACCCTGTTGTATCCAAAATATGCAGAGTTGTGGAAATATCGATGTTATACTGTAATTAAATTCAAGTGATTTGAATCATGTATTGTAGACCTACCACATTGGCATAAAGGTATAGTACCAATGTATGGAAAAAATGGTCTTAATGAAACACTAAATTTTATAACCATTTGGAGACAGTAGTGGCACTGCGGGGGAGGGGAAAACACGGGACATTCCCTCTTCCAAGTTTATTTCAAACGCTGGCGCAACCACTGTTTGGAGAGCAACCGAACAGCAATAGGAGTTTGAATCATTTGCATTGATCCCTGATTCCAGGTAAACGAGTTAAGCTAATTCTAGTGCAAATATTGAGAATCATTGCCAAGCCTCCACTCGGATCTAAATTCACCCCGAATTTGGTTAGTCCATCTGCATACTACAGTACAGGATACCAGAATTAAGGTGATTCTGTGTGTACATTGAATAGGCTTACCTTAAATAATAATAATAATAATAATAATAATAATAATAATAATAATAATAATAATAATAATAATAATGAAGCAAAGCTTATGTTTTGCAAACCGTTTTGATCCATTAGTAGCACAAATCTTGCCTTAATGACCAATAGAACTACTAAATATGAATATGTAATGGAACATTACTATTCATTACTAAACTGCTATTCTTTTTGACAATCCTAGCTTCAATCGATACGTTCAACACGATGTGATTACAATTATATTATTTAGCTAAACGTGTCTTCGATCGAGAAGTATGTTAATTGTCCTCTCGCTATTTTATGAGCAATTCATTTTGAGCAGGCCGCTATGAATGGTGTGTTCATAGTGCGTATATATATATATATATATAT